GCCTTACAGTAGTAGGCCTTGGGTTACTGCTGGTAATCCTGTCTTCCCCTCGTGGGATTAGAGAAGGTCAGAACATGTGGCCTCCTTGCCGTTTTAGCAGTGAGGCACTTACTTCAGGCCCAAAATTTACATTTCAGGAGATGAAAAAAAAAACCTCAGTAATTGAGATACTCTTATTTCATACAATTAAAAAAATAAAAATTAAGGCAAAAATAATCTCTGAAGAAAATATCAAAATTTTAAATAAAGATAGAATCAGGAACAAGCTCTGCTGAGTCATATTGAAGACTGAGGTAGAGGGAGAATTCAGTGATACAGATCCTGACCCTTCCTGGTCCCGGGAAGAAGGGAAGGCCTGAAGAATGAGGCTTACCTGACCATCTATTTACAATTACAATCTGCATCTTTAGTTCCTAGAAATAAAAAAGACTTCTGAAGCACAGAGAGTGAAAGATTAATGTCTTCATTATTTTGGGGCACTTTATTTTCCAATTAAAAAAAAAAGAAGCAACAATTAAAACAGAAAAACAGTGCAATATATTCTATCAGCTATTTAAATAATAAAGGTCCACTCTTACCTGGAATGTGTGAATAGTTCTTGCCCATGCATGTTTTATGCGACAAAACTGCATCAGTTTCCCAAAATCCACAGTTACTTCCAAGCCAGCACCATTATTAATGGTCAAAGATCTCTTTTTTCCAAATGTTACATCAGTGTTATCCTATCACCAAAATAAAGAGGAAGGAACTGTTTTCTACATCTTTAAATATGCCCACAAGTGACTCCATTTTCAGTCTGAACATAAAATGCAACACCTTTATAAGTAAGATACTATGTATATTCATTACAGTGGTTAAGGATTTCAAAAGACTAACAAAATCTGTACTTGAGTGCAAACTGTGAATATATCCACACCCAAATATGTTAATAAAAACAAATAAAAGTTTTAGTTCTTGAAAGCTAAGCTTAAATGCAACTCTCTAAAGGACATCTATATTTTCTTTATTTTAAAGTCTATAAATTTCATTTTTATACTGACTACATAAGTCTCTAGGAGCTCTGGTGGCTTAGTGCCTAAGACGTTTGACTGCTAACCAGAAGGCTGGCGGTTCAAACCCACCAGCCACTCCTCGGAGGGAAGTTTGGGCAATCTACTTCCGTAGAGATACCACCTTGGAAACCCAAGGAGGGGCCACTATGAGTCAAATCTGATGGCAGTGCATTGCGTTTGCATTATATAAGTCTTATACTCTTTGCAGAGAGTACTTTTCTTCACTTACAGCTCATCAGGAAGATTATGAGTTTAGGAGGCTGTCTATACGATGAGGACAAACACAAGGTGATCACTTCTTTAGTTTCTATATTTAAGCAGCAACCAAGGAGATGAAGGCTTATAAAATATAATAAGCATCTCATCTGGGCCTTGCTTTTTGTTACTCAAGCACTTCAATCTTATTAAAAGTATGTTTCTTCACAAACTCTTCCAAAAATTTAAGAGGAACACTTTTTTAATTCATTTTAGGAGGCCAGCATTATTCTCATACCAAAACCAGGTAAGACATACCAATATTGCTCATGAACATAGAAACAAAAACCCTTAATAAAATATTATGGAACAACAATGTCTGCTCTGAAATTAGTTTCTGAATCAATCCTAGGGCTATACATACATACATACATATATATATATACACATACACACCTCTAATAAGACAAAAAAATTATTATTTTCTGTTATCACTTACTCCTGTTATGTAAAATATTTCTCCATTGCATAGTCGAATGTCACTTTCAAAGTTAGACTTATTTTTATGTTTAGCAGAATCATGAGGAATACCACCAAAGTCTTCACCACTGGCCTCTTGTGCATTATTCTGCTGACTTTCAGAAGTACTTTCAAGGACTAAATCAGAGAGATACGCATTCCTGGTACAACAAATTTTATCACCAACTCCAAATACAAGTCTATTCTGATGGTCTCTGGGTGAGAAAATGAGGATATGGCATCAGAGTTTGGAAAATCTCAGTCTCATTTTGTTTAAGCATTAGCTCCCACTCAGATAGACCCAATTCTCAAAATAATTTCCACATTCTCTTTCCTTTGTTTGCATTCTCCAAAAGTCAGCAAGAAATCATGCTCCTACAGCAGTCATCTGATTACTTAAACACATTCAATGACACTTCCCAACTGTCATGGACCGAATTGTGTCCCCCCAAAAATATGTTGGAGCTCCGGTGGCTTAGTGCCTAAGGTATTTGACTGCTAACCAGAAGGCTGGTGGTTCAAACCCACCAGCCACTCCTTGGAAGGGAGGTTGGGCAATCTATTTCTGTAGTGATACTGCCTTGGAAACCCTAGAAGGGGTCACTATGAATTATGAGTTGTTATGGCACATAACAACAACAACAACAAAAAAAATATGTATTGTAAATCCTAGCCTCTATGCGGGAGCTCTGGTAGCATAGTGGCTAAGACACCTGCCTGCTAACCAGACGGCTGGCGGTTCAAACCCACCAGCCACTCCTCGGAAGGAAGGTTGGGCAATCCTACTTCCGTAGTGATACTGCCTCGGAAACCCAAGGAGGGATCGCTATGAGTCAGGGCTGACTTGATGGCACATAACAACAACAACAACATCAGAATAATAGCAGCAAGTATTGACTAAATGTTGGCAATATGCCAGTTACTATGATAAGGGCTTTAGGTATGTATATAGTTTAATTTTATCTTTACCATAACTCTATAAGGGAAAAATTCTGTATAAATATTATTTACCATGTGTGGAAGTTGAGCTTTGAAAGATGGAATTACCTGCTGAAGATCAGTTATTGGGACCCAAATTTTATGGTCTTAAACCCCATACATTTAACCCATGACTTGACACAGTTTTGTGTGTTTTCTCTCCACAGACAGGGAGCTTCTCTTGTATTTTGCACATCTCTGGGTCTTCTAAGGAGCTCTGGTGGCGTAGTGCCTAAGGTATTTGCTAACCAGAAGGCTGGGAGTTCAAACGCACCAGCCACTCCTCAGAAAAAGACTGGGCAATCTAATTCTGTAAAGATTTACCACCCCGGAAGCCCAAAAGGGGGTCGCTATGAGTCGGAATCAACTCAGTGGCAGTGAGTCTGGTGTTTGGTTTGGTATGGGTCTTCTGCACTTAACAAATAGTAAACCAAAAAAACCCACTGCCATCAAGTCAGTTCCGTCTCAGTGATCCCTGTTGGGCTTCCAAGGCTGTAAATCTTTATGAAAGTAGATCACTTCATCTTCCTTCAGCGGAGCAGCTCGTGGGTTTGAACCACTGACCTTTCTGGTTAGCAGCCAAATACCTTACCCACTATGTCACCAGAGTTCCTTTAGCAAACAGTAGCTATTAGTAAATACCAGGGAAATTAATAACTTTTTGTTGTGTATAAACTAAGTGGCTATTCACCCTGTTTTTCTGATGGATGCTCACAAAGGCACTTTCTACTAGCATCCTGCTGCTAAGGTTCCTGGAAGCATCATACACATATTACAATTTGAAAAACTCTCCTGAACTCCCCAAGCTCATCTTGGAGAAGCTAGAGCTTGCCATTTTAGAAAACACAAAGATTTTATTCTTTAATTTTCTTACTACACTGATAACCAAAAAGTCAATTTTTCTACAGATTCATATTCTATTTAAGTAATGAGATACTTAAACTTCACAAATGAGAGGAAAAAAGTTTCTAAATACGTAGCTACTGAATCCAAACCAAATTCACTGCCATTGAGTCGATTCTGACTCACAGTGATCCTTTAAGACAAAACAGAACTGCCCCATAGGATTTTCAAGGCTGTAAATCTTTACAGAAGCAGACTGCCACATCTTTCTCCCATGGAGTGGCTGGTGGGTTTGAACTGCCAACCTTTTGGTTAGCAGCTGAATATGTTATCCATTATACCACGAGAGCTTCTTTACATGGCTACAGCTGACAAATTTCAAATAAAACGAAAAAACAGCAAAGCAAGGAGGGACTGCCATCAAAGTTCCAGTACTCACTTGATTAAGTGGCCTGCGTAGTGCTTGGAACAGCAGTGGTTGATTAGATCACAGTCTTGCCTGAAACATGTGAGAATGTAAGGTCACTTGAATGGTATCTGCTATGCCTTTCTTTATGTCATCAACAATTATGATACATATGATTCTACAAAAAGTTTTCAGGCTTTCCTCCAAAAAAAAGTATTCTGCAATTTTTAACATAAATTCTTGTTCCAGTCAGATTTCCAGTGAGTTTCCAAATATAATATGTGGTAGAGAAAGCCCAGTTTAGAAAATGTTCTCTGCTATGTGTAATAAAGAAACTCACCAAAATAAGAGAGTTAACACTGATGAACTAGGACAGTCTCACATCCAATTAGAATCTACATTAAAAAGTTACAAGATGTAAAAACTAGATTAAAAACTTTAAGTCATTGTTAATGCTTTACCTCCTAAATGCAATAAACTGTGATATTTTTTCATCTTTTAGGTCCTCTTCTTTGAGTAAAGTTCCAACCACAGAATATAAATCTGATAATTCAAGATAAAAAAAAGTTGAGACAGAAAGTCACCAAAGTACAACACTGTTTCTACGGAGAACCTAATTCAGAACTTCTGCCAAGGGGCCCAGGAAAACATCTTACCAAATGGATGCAAGCTCCCATAGGAATATCAAATTCCTTCCCTATATTAACGAAAATAATAGGAATGAGAATTAAAAGAAGGGGTCCAGATACCCCACCCTCAACAGAGAGGTCAGTCCCTGGCCAGAGGGCAGCTCCTAATTTATTTATATTCACTTCATATTCACTTCCTGATGGTTTCAAAATGCTGGATTTAAGGAAAGAGCAAGAGAAAAAATGTGTAACATAATTACTAATGTAAAACTTTGTTTTAAGTCAATGTGGCACTGGTGGAATTGAATTATAATTTGAGGATACATATATTTGGTAGCGTAGTGCCTAAGGCACTTGACTGCTAACCAGAAGGCTGGCGGTTCAAACCCCCCAGCCACTCCTTGGAAGGAAGATGGGGCAATCTACTTCCGTAGTGATACTGCGTCGGAAACCCAAGGAGGAGTCGCTATGAGTCGGGTCCTACTTGACAGCACATAACAACAACAACAACAGCATACTTTACATATGCTACCTAACCTAATTTAATCTTCACAATACCTGTATGAGATAGGTGTTATTTTTTTTATCCAGGGTTGACAGCTGTCAAGTACCCCAGATCTCCCATGCATGATTAAGGAACTAAAAGGTTAACTCTAGCACACAACAGGGGCATCCCTTCTAATGGTGCTCATGCCCTACCAGGTAAATAGTTTAACTACCTCCAGTTGCCATCAAGTTGCCTCTGACTCATGGCAACCCCACATATATCAGACAACTGTGCTCCACAGGGTTTCCAATGACTTATTTGACAGAAGTAGATCACGAGGCTTTTCTTCCACGACACTTCAGGGTGTACTTGAGCTCCAGCTTTTGGATGAGCAACTAAGCTCTTTAGTGTTTGCACCACCCAGGGACTCCAAATAGTTACCACTATAACTGTCACCACTGATCACATCTATATCACACATGTGAAAGCTAAGGCTTATGGAAGTAAAAGTCATTGTCCAAATGGGACAAAGTGGCTTGCTTTTCTCTTCTATAGCCAGATGATTGACAATGATGATATCATCGTTTAACTTTTCCTATCTGGTTGGAGCACTGAAAAGCAGGCTTCCTCTAGTCTCTCTAGAGGAAACAAAATAGCAAACATTTCTCATGAGAAAGAAAATATAAAAATCTGGGCAAGAATATTCCAGTCTTTTGCGGCTTTTCCTAGCAGCAGATGAAATGTGGGTGACGGAAAAGCTGCAGCCTTGTGATGTCCTGCTCTGGGAAGGCTAAATGAATTGTTCTCTGGGCTCTTCATTTTCCAGAAGAAGGAAAGATTATTGCATGGGAAACCGCTAACACACAGTCCATTCCCACCCAGGCCCTGCCAGAGCATGAATTTTCAAAGGCTGCTTGCACATTTTTTTTCATTTTACACACATGGAATCATGATGTTCTGCATCTTGCTTTACCTCACTCTGTCAACATCTCACAAAGCTTTTCTGATAAATACATAAACTATACTTCATTGATTCTAAGATACTGTTCAGTTTAACATCGCTAAAATTCTACCCAAGCCATGAATCCTGCCTTAGATCTATGCAGTTTTCCATAATTGTAATTTACTCAATAACTTCCTTGGTTATTAACAAAAAAAGTATTATATGCCTTTCTAACCCAAACCAAAACCCAATGCCATAGAGTCGATTCTGATCATAATGACAATGTAGGACACAGTAGAACTGCCCCATAGGGTTGGTTTCCAAGACTGTAAATCTTTGTAGAAACAGACTGCCTCATCTTTCAGCTGGTGGGTCTGAAGTGCCCACCATTTGGTCAGCAATTGCTGAGTGTTTAAATGTCTCTCTCTCTAAGGGATATCTATCTATACAATTATCTTAAAGAAGAGGCAGCTTTTCCAGCAAAATTTTTAATTAAGATAGAAAAACAGCAACACTTAAGTGTGGTCTCCTTTCTGAAGTGAACAACATGGCTACTAACTGAAAGGTCCATAGTTCAAATCCACCACTGACTCCCTGGGAGAAAGATATATTAGTCTGTTTCTGTAAAGATTACAGCCTTGGAAAACCTAAAGGGCAGGTCCACTCTGTCCTATACAGATGCTAAGAGTTGGAATTTGACTCGACGATAGTGGGTATGTTTTTTGGGTTTTTCAGTCATTAAAGTAAAGAGGGAGTGCCAGAAATAAAACTATAAAAATATTTTGTTGTTGTTGTTAGGTGTCATCAAGTGGATTCCAGCTAACAGTAACCCAATGTACAACAGAATGAAACATCACCTAATCCTGTACCCATCCTCACAACTATTGCCATCCTTGGGCCCATCATTGTAGCCACTGTGTCAATCCATCTCATTAAGGGTCTTCCCCTTTTTCACTGACCTCTACTTTACCAAGCATGATATCCTTCTTGAGAACTGGTCCCTTCTGATAACATGACCAAGTATGAAAGATAAGTCTGCCCATTCTTGCTTCTAAGGAGCATTTCAGCTGCACTTCCTCCAAGACAGATTTGGTAGATCTTCTAGGAGTCTATGATGCATTTATTATTCTTCACCAATACTGCAATTCAAGTGCATCATTTCTTCTGTGGTCTTCCTTCTTCAATGTCCAGCTTTCACATGGATATGAGGCGACTGAAAATACTATGGCTTGGGTCAGGAGCACCTTAGTCTTCAACAGCTTTACTTTAAGAGGTCTTTTGCAGCAGATTTGCTGCAAAAGATATGTTTGATTTCTTGACTGCTGCTTCCATGGGTGCTGATTGTGGATCCAGGTAAAATGAAATCCTTGACAACTTCAACCTTTTCTCTGTTTATCATGATGTTGCTTATTTGTCCAGTTGTGAGGATTTTTGTTTTCTTTATGATGAGATGTAATCTATATAGAAGGCTGTAGTCTTTGTTCTTTATCAGTAAGTGCTTCAAATTTTCTTCACTTTCAGCAAGCAAGGTTGTGTCATTTGCCACAGTAGGTTGTCAAATGAGTCTTCCTCTAATTCTGATGAAAAAGATCCAATTTTCTTCATATAGTCCAACTTCCTGGATTATTTGCTCAGCAGATTCAATAAGTATGGTTATAGGACACAACCCTGACACACACCGTTTCTGATTTAAAACCTCACTGGATACCCTTGTTCTGTTTGAATAATTGCCTCTTGGTCTATGTACAGGTTTTTCATGAGCACGATTAAATGTTCTAGAATTCTCATTCTTCACAATGTTATCATAATTTGTTATGATCCACCCAGTCAAAAGCCTTTGCAGTAAATAAAACATAAGTAAACGTCTTTCTGATATCTTTGCTTTCAGCCAAGTTTCACCTGGCATCAGCAATGACATCCCTCATTCCATGCCATCTTTTGAATCCAGCCTGAATTTCTGGCAGTTCCCTACGGATGTACTGCTGCAACCATTTTTGAATTATCTGCAGCAAAATTTTACTTGCATGTGAAATTAATGATATAATTTCCACACTCTATCAGATTACCTTTCTTTAGCATGGGCACCAATATGGATCTCTTCCAGTCAGGTGACCAGGTAGCTGTCTTCCAAATTTTTTGCATAAATTAGTGAGTGCCTCCAGCACTGCATTCTTTTGTTGAAACATCACAGTGGGTAGTCCATTAATTCCTGAAGCCTTGTTTTCACCAATTCCTTCAGAGTAGCTTGGATCTTCCTTCAACACCATTGGTTCCTGATTACATACTACCTCCTGAAATGACTGAACTTAACCAATTCTTTTTTGTACAGTGACTCTGTGTATTCCTTCCATCATCTTTTGACACTTCCTGCATCGTTCAATATTTTGCGCATAGAATGCTTCAACATCACAAGTTGAAGCTTGAATTTCTTCTTCCATTCTTTCAGCTTGAGAAATGCTGAACATCTTCTTCCCCTTTGATTTTCCAACTCCATGTCTTTGTATACTTCATTATTATACTTTACAGAGCCTCTCAAACAGCCCTTTGAAATGTCTTTTTAGCTCTTTTATGTTCTCACTTCTTCCATTTGCTTCGGATACTCTTGAAAGCATGTTTCTGACTCTTCTGACATCCTTTTGGTCTTCTCTTTCTTTTTTATCTTTCTTAATGACCTTTTGTTGTCTTCATGGATGATGTCCTTAATGTCACCCACAACTCCCCTGCCTTCAGCCACTGGTGTTCAATGCATCAAATCTATTCTTCAGATGGACTCTAAATTCAGGTGGGATATACTCAAGGTCATATTTTGGCTCTCATGCACTTGTTTTAATTTTTCTTCAGCTTCACCTTAAACTTGCACATGAGCAAATGATGGTCTGATCCATAGTTGGCCCCTAGCTTTATTCTAATGATATTGAGGTTCTCCACTGCCTTTTCACAGATGCACTCATTTTGATTCCTGTGTGTTAGGTCCACGTGTATAGCTGCCTTTTATGCCGTTGAAAAAAGGTATTTGCAATGAGTAAGTCATTGGTCTTGCAAAATTCTATTATGCAATCTCCAATATCATTTCTGTCATCAAGGCCATATTTTCCAACTACCAATGCTTCTTCTTTGTTTCCAATTTTTGTATTCCAATTACCAGCAATTATCAATACTTCTTGATTGCATTTTTGGTCAATTTCAGAGTGCAGATGTTGCTAAAAATCTTCAATTTGTTCATTTTTGTCTTTACTGGTTGGTGCATCAAATTGAATAATAGTATTAACTGGTCTTCCTTGTAGGCGTATGGATATTATTCTATCACTGACAGCATTATACTTCAGGATAGATCATGAAATGTTCTTTTGAATGATGAATATGATATTATTCCTTTGTCATTCCTGACCTAGTAGACCATATGATTGCCTGATTCAAAATGGCCAATACCAGTCCATCTCAGCTCACTAATACCTAGGATACTGATCTTTATGCATTTCATTTCATTTTGACAGCTTCCAGTTTTCCTAGATTCATACTCTGTACACTCCACATTCAATTATTAATGGATGTTTGCAGCTATTTCTTCTCATTTTGAGTGGTGCCACATCAGTAATTGAAGGTCCTGAAAGCTTTACTCCATCCACATCATAAAGGTTGACTCTACTTTGAGGAGGCAGCTCTTCTCCAGTTTTATTTTGAGTGCCTTCCAACCTGAGGGGCTCATCTTCTGGCACTATCTCAGACAATGTTTCCCTGCTATTCATAAAGTTTTCATTGGCCATTTTTTGTTTCCCTTCCCCAGAAGTGGACCTGACTGTCCTTCCCAGTCTGCTTTACCGATACTTGTCTACCATGGGTGACCCTACTGGTATTTGAATACTGGTGCCATACCTTCCAGCATCACAGCAACATGCAAGCCACCACAGAACAGCAAACTGACAGACAAGGCAGAAAATATTTTAGGTATATATAAATGAAGTGCAAAGAAAGGGAGGTACCTAACCACCTAAGTCTCTTTTGTTAATCTGTAATAAACCAATTGCCATCAAGGTGATTAAAACCCATGGTGGAGCCATGCATATCAGAATAGAATTGTGCTGCACAGCGTTTCAGCAAAGAGGCTGGTGGGTTTAAACCACTGACCTTTCAGTTAGCAGCAGAGTGGTTAACCACAGTATCACCAGTTCCCCAGTCTGTACTACTTTTGAGTAAATCATTGCAGTATTAAAAAAAAAGTCTGTTGACTGAATATATAATACAAATAAAGATCAACAGAGATTGAATCCATTTAAACAAATTCATATGTAACAGGTAATTTAATAACATCAAGTAATCACAAAAGAAACTATTTATATACAGCCTCATAACTGATGAAACATCATTGTTCCACAAGGCAGTGCAAAAAGGGCATGGAGGCAGCATCTTCTGACCTCCTCTAACCTCACAAGGTGGAGAGAGAATCACTGTGGTAGTTAACGTTATGTGTTAACTTGGCTGGGCCTGGTTTTGAGTGGCTGGGCAGCTGGATGTAGTCATTCCCCATGTGAGATTTGTAATCAACTCCATGGTGGAATCTACTGTGAGCAGCTGTAAGGATGCCTTAGGGATGTGGTCTACTTCCAGCATATAAGTAGAAGTGTTGAGAAAGGTCTCAGAGCTTTTTGGCACACTTGGACCCTGCATGTAGCTGAGTCTTCCTTTAGCAGCCTGCCATATTTCTTGGTGATCTTGGGACTGTCTCTGAAGTTGAACTAGTGGCCTGCCATGTAGGTTGGTAATCTTGACGCTGTGCCATTTTGTTTGTCGACCTTGGATTTGTCAGCCTCAGTAGCCAGCATCTGCCTGGGTTAAGAGAAATCTCTAGCTGCAGTGGGCCAGGAACAAAAGGCAGAACTGAAGCCCAAGGTCAAGGGGCCTTCACCCAGCCCTTAGGGCCGGCACTTTGAACTTGGACTTCTAGTCTCCTAAACTGTAAGAAAATAAATCCCTGTTTGTTAAATCCACCCATTTGTGGTATTTTCTGTTAGGGTGGCACTAGAAAGCCAAAACAATCACCATCAACAGCCCACAGCTTATTCCTATGAGGCCAGACATGCCACCACCCTCCAGTTTTTTTCGCCAATTCTGACACCAGTCGTCCTTCCCAAGGCACTCACTACTTCTCTGTTGGGTTCAGTAATTTGTAGCAAAGGTCACACAGAACTCACAGATAGTATTCACAATTTTGGGGTTTATTAGGGAAGTAACAAGCTACAATTCAGGTTCAGAAATGCTCAGGATGCAATTCTTTGATAAGAATAGTCTCCCCTCTGTCATGCCCTCTGGCATGCCTCCCTGGCCTTTGGCCTCTTGACCTGACCTCTGCCTTGCTCAAGTAAGTGTTACAAAGCTCTTTTAGCTCTGCCAATAGTTGCATCTAGGTGCACCCCACTCTGCCAGCAAGCCTCCTGCCAAAAGCACTCAGCTTTCTCGCTCCATGGGCCAGCAAGCCCACAGCTCTATCTCATGCCTCGATTCCTCATCCAGTCATCTATGCCGGCCATCTCCGTGAAGGAGGTCCAGACAGGGATCTCAGGTCCAAGGATGTGCTCCACTCCACCTGTGGCTCTTCTCTCGATAGTAGTGAGATTCCCCCTTCTCAAAACCAAAACCAGCTCAGTGCTGTCGAGTCAGATCTGACTCATAGCGACCCCTCTCCTTGGGTTTCTGAGGTGGTATCACTATGGAAGTAAATGGCCCAATCTTTCCTTCCGAGAGTGGCTGTAAGCCTAGCTGAATGACAAAACTAACCAATCCCCACACTAGGGTTCCATACACTTTATTTGCATGGTCCCACCACCACAAGGGTGCCATGTACCTTATTTACATTGCTCACAAGACAACCAATCCCCTAGGTAGACCTCAAGCATCTGACATTTGCATAGTTCTACCCAGTTATTGGGTGGAGTCACAAAGACCATGACTAGGAAAGCCAGACCAAGTAATTCCCTGTACCACAGCAGTGTCAATACAAGTTCCACTCTGTAAGTGGTTAAGTGACGTGAAAAGGGAGAAGATTCATTGTGTCATTCTTACTACCCATAATTAGAAGCAATGCTTGTCCATTCTACAAAACATAACCACAGTAAAGCTCATTTTCCACTAAAATGAGCAAAAGAAAAGTGGTAAGACTATGTTGTTGTTATGTGCCGTCGAGTCGGACCCAACTCATAGCGACCCCCTCCTTGGGTTTCCAAGGCTGTATCACTGCGGAAGTATATTGCCCCATCTTCCGTCCGAGGAGTGGCTGGTGGGTTTGAACTGCCAGCCTTCTGGTTAGCAGTCAAGTACCTTAGGCACTATGCTACCAGAGCTCCCAGTAAGACTGTAAGACTGTTAAAGGTGGAAAAATTGCAGAACTCAGAAAAACAGGGCAACACTTTGATAGCCATAAGTTCTGTTTCACAAATGTACTCAAAAAACATGTATTTGTGAAACCCCTGAGACTACGGCCTCTAGTCACCCTTCAGACCTGGAACTGAACTCACTCTCATGGCTTCCAGTCAAACAACAGACAGGCCTATACGGCGAATATTTATACCAGGTAGGTACACTCCTTAGAACAATCAACCATGGGATATCAGAAGGGCAGTATTTGCTCAGGGAGATAGCTCAGAGGCCAGGAATGCATAGGAAAGAAGGACACAGGAAAAAGGTAACCATAGGGATGAAGTGGGAAGAGAGCTATTACATTACAGGGATTGCAGTCAATGTCATGAAACCAAACGTGTATGAATTGTTGTATGGACAATGAATTTGCTCTGTAAACTTTCACCCAAATCACGGTTCTAAAAAAAATGTATTTTCTTTTCAAACTGCTATTTAAAAAAAACAAATTCAGCTAAGCTTTCTTCTGAATGTACTTGGATTAGTAAAGTATTGCTTATTTTAAATGAAATCATCTACATCTATTTATTCACTCAAGTATTTACTTAGCCCAACTACATGTCATTTACTTACAAAATTCTAGAGTAATCCGATTTTGAAGATTCATAAATTAGTTTATTTTCAGTGCCTTATTTTTTTATTAGCAGTATTTCTCTTTACTGTAAATAACATTGTAACTAGTCATTTAATATCTGTATAACAAAACTGAAACAACTGACCTTCTTATCTACATAGAACCTTATATACCTCTCTATAAGAGTTTATACTCACAAGAGTGATGATTTCTTTTAGATGACTGAGAACTCTGAGAACCAGCAACCTCTTCCGGAAGTCGGATGAAAATAAACGTCTTATCTTGAATTGCGATGGGGAGTGTTGGATTATCACATATATTCAGTTCTGCATCAAAATTTGGAAACTGGCGTTTTGAGATTCTTAAAGAAAGATAAAATACATTCACCAAGTACATTACTATTCAAAACTGTGTCTTCATATGTGATTAGAGCAAATGTCATCACAATAATTAAAATCTGTTAATAGATAATAAACAAGGAGAAAAGGCCACCTGAATACACATTATAAATAGTAAATGAGTTTTATAATAAGAATTAGCAAGACCATATGCTATGGAACTACATTTAGCAATCAGTCCCATACTCCTAGCAAATTAAGTTAGGAAAACATCAGAAAAAATTATCTTCAAAACTTGTAACGTTACAGACTACAAAGAAAAAAAAATAGTTGCTGTTGAGTTGATTCTGACTCATGGTAATTCCATGTGTGTCAGAGTAGAACTGTGCCCCAAATTAATGCATGATTTTGCAGAAGTAGATCACCAGGCCTCTCTTCCAAAATACCTCTGGGTAGACTAGAACTTTTCAGTTAGCAGTCGAGCACACTAATGATTTGCACAACACATTAT